AGTCCAAAAACATAACATATTTACACGACCTCATACAAAACAAGTGGATACGCACCTGGGACTCGATAAAGGCGGACTCCCACACACCCCCTTCGGAATTCTTCTCATATCTGCAAATCAGGCGGAGTCTGTGCTTGACGGCAGGGTGCCCACCACTCGACTCTCCTTGATGGAACATATATGCTACCACACCCCTTTGCAACCCAAATTGATATCCATGTTATATGCTCAGCTGAACTCAAACCAATGTAACTCGATCCATAATTATGTTGCAGCCTGGGACAAAGATTTACGTGGAAAAATCACTGATATAGAATGGCAACAAATTTGGGCCTCGGCGGCATCATGTACCATCAACATCACTTCACATGAAACAGCATACAAATCTATGATGCAGTGCTACATGGTGCCAGCTCGACTAGCACATTCCCACCCCCAACAGTCAGCCAAATGCTTCAGGGGTTGTGACGCGAAGGGAGATGTAATGCACATCTGGTGGACGTGCCCAATGGTACACCGTTTTTGGATCAGAACATTCAGGCTACTGAACTCTGTTCTTCACACAAATATACACAGGGACCCGAAGTTTGCCCTGTTACACCTTAAGCCTCCGAAGCTCACGAGCACTCAGCAGAAACTAGCAGTATTTACATTTCTAGCCGCAAAACAAACTATAGCACAGGCATGGAGGAAACGGCAGATTCCCTTTAGTGGGGTTTGCCGACGGGTTGATTCATTCTTTATTAACGAGAAATTATCCAGTGTCCTGGCAGACACCCAAAAGAAATTTCGGAAGGTCTGGGACCCCTGGTTGGCATATACACATCCAAATTTATTTTTATGTCAAAAATAATAAAAACCATTGAAACAAAAAAAAACAAACACGGTGAGGTGCTATCACCGAGACTTCAGGAATTGCATGGGGAGGGACAAGTAAACAGGGTCCCAACCTTAACAATAAGGACATCAGTAAGTGCAGTTTCAGGTACAGAAAAATAGCAGCAACTAGACCCCTTAAACTAACAGTAGTATCTTCAACACTGAGTATAACAGTGGAGCAGGCACCATAGGGTACTGCAGAGCCGCCCATGGAGGCCGGTGTCAGGTGTCCACTGGCACGGGAAGGGGATACAGGGAGGGACAGGGGGAGTGAGGGGTAGGGGGGGGGAGGGAAGGGGATAGGGGGGGGGCAGCAGGACCGCACCAAATATGGCCTCCAAGGAGAGCATTCAAGGGGGGTGTTTCTTCAGGTCCTGTCCTCCAATATAGCCCTTTAGAGGGATGGGTGCGCTGGGGGGAAACACAAGGGCAAAGGCATCAGAAAAATCACCAACCACAGTATAAACAGTAACATACAGTGTAACCCCCTGGAGGGAGCCAGTAATAGGTAAATATCCTGTAACCTGGCATCGATCAGCTCCAGCCGAGCTGGGGGGTGAGAGGGCAGGCCAGTGGCAATCGAGTCCCTGGGCGAGTTGCAAGAGGTGGGATAGCCCGAAGGCCAGTCCTTGCAGACTGAAGGGGTCCTGCTGGTAGAAGCAGCTCAGGATAGTCCGAGGGCGGGATGTGGTGCCAATGGGAAGTGTTCCGGATGTCCAGGGAATTACTCCAGGTAGTGGTCGTCAGGGCATCCAGTAGGGAGCGGCAGCCGCAGGGACCTGCAGGGAATGAAGTATACGGCCCCTAAGGATCAGGGCTCCTTAGCAGTGAGTGCAGGGCAGGATGTGCTGCGGCGTCTCTGTGGGAGAGGACGGTGTTCAACGTCTAGGTCAGGGCCAAGCCAGTTCGGTACCTCCACCGGTGGCATCTCCAAGAAGGTGGCATCTCCAAGAAGGTGAAGAGGTCCACCAGTTGGGTCGGGTGACACAGGAGGAAGGTTCGGCCGTTCCGGTGCACATTCCGGCTGAAAGGATACCCCCAGGTGTAGAGGCCCCCGGCCCGGCGGATCTCATCGAGGAGAGGTTGTAGGGTCCGTCGCATCTGAAGTGTGCGGCGTGAGAGGTCCGGTAGGATGGTAATGTCCACTCCGTCAAAGGGGATGGGGCCTTTCTGCCACGCTGTGCGCATGATGGTCTCCTTTTCAGCGAAAAAATGGACGCGACAGAGGACGTCCCTGGGCCTCGGGTCCCCGACCGGCCTAGGTCTTCCCACGCAGTGGACTCGGTCTATCTCCAGAGGGGAGTCTGGGGCCTTGTCCAAGATGGAGTTGAGAATGGCAGTCACCGTAGGACGAAGGCCCACCGCATCTGTAGCCTCCGGGAGCCCCCGGAGTTTTACATTGTTCCGCCGTGACCTATTCTGCAGGTCATCGTGCGCAAGGAACAGGGTGAATAGATGGCGGTCATGGGCCGCCGTCTCCGATTCCAGGCGGTCAAGTCGTTGGGACAGGTGGGTCTGGCCTGTAGATAAGGTAGAAACCTCCGACTCCAGTTGGGAGACTGTGTTGTGAATGCTAGCAATGTCTTTCCTCAGCGCGGCCTCCATTTTGGCTACCAGGGTGGCCATGTCCTGTTGCGTGGGCAGAGAGAGGAGAATGGAGGAGATCTCACTGGCGGACAGGGAAGTCATCGTCTCTGGATGTTGCTACGGAGTTAGAGTGAGGGGAAAGACCGGGTCCTCTATCGGGCTAGGATCGGGAGGAGAGGTAGTTGCCCGTGGGGAGGTGGGGCCACCAGAGTTCGGGGGCCTTACCCTGTGTTTCAGAAGCCATGGCGGTCTTGGAGGCGCTGCAGGTCGACGGCACAGGAGATGAGAGGTAGCGCTGTAGGGAGGTTTTCGAGCGCTGGCTGTTGTCAGAACGAGATTTGCCCTTCAACAACATCAAGAACGGGGTGATAAGATGTCTCGATCAACTGTAAAGTCTCTGGTGATAGCAGAGCTCAAGCAATGTGCTTCCTCACGCCGCCATAGCCAAGCTACGCCCCCGGTTTTCACATGTTGAGCGTTTTACAGAGCGTAGGAACGCGCTGTAAAACGCCCAGGTGTAAACCAGGCCTAAAAGGATAAAGTTTTAAGAGCCTATTGTTCAGATTAGGCTTTTTCTCCAGATGCTTCCATTCATTAAGGATAATGTCCCTTCTTACATAAAGGGAAAATTAACCGTGGACTTCTGGAGGTGAGCAAAATACTGCCTGGATTTAGCGGTTTGTTCAATAGGTTCCTCCTAGTCAATGGCCTCCTTAACTGCCATGATAAAAGGTTAGACTAGTGCAAAATCGAAGCCCGATTTGCCCTATTCAACCATGGTCTTGGAACACGTCGTAAACCTCAGAGTTCGAGGATCTCCTCAACACTTGCTGGGATGTGCTTGGCCCAGGAACAGGAGCAGGGGCCCCTGACATCTCCCTCATGCAGTCCTTAACATACTGTTTGATTCATGAGGACAAATCCGTGGATAAGGCAAGGTGTTCCTGCGTCAACTCTTCCAGGCCAGCCTGGCACACAAGTTTCCTGGTAATAGCCTGCTTGCCACACACCCAACAGTAGTGTTTACTGGGCATATGTTTTTCCGAGCATCTGGATGGCTCTGAAGAATGTGATCCATAGACAGAGCGAGAGTGACTACGGTCCTGCGACCCCACGTCTTCTTGAGCAGGAACTTCGTCTGGCTCTCCGGGATCTGTGGTGGTCTTCGTGAGGAGGGCTATAATGAAGCATTTATCCTGTATTAGCCCCTCACGCCTCGTTAAAAAACAAAAAAAATATACTCACCAACCCTTACCATATGTGTAGAGGAATGTCTTTGGAGGCAGCAGAGTCAGCCATGGCCCTGCGAGGAAAAGAAATGCATTTATTGAATTTTTTTTAAATATAGACTTGACATGGATGGCATCCACACCGCTGCCAGCAAGGGACAAGAGTTACCTAGCGTGGAATGAGCGGCTCAGGAAGGAGCAGTATGGACGCGGAGTGAAAACTTTGCTCCTGTCAGTGTCTAAATAGACACAGTAACATATGAAACCGGTACGAAAGGAGACAAAGAAAATGCCAGGTGACATGAGCCAGGAATGGAAGCATTGCAATCCCATGTAACTCCAGACAAATTGTCGCTAAGACATCCAGACTGGGACTCCCTGGGGGATACCCTATTAAAAGGTATACAGGCAGGGATATCACAGCAGAGGTGGCTGATCCTGAATGGCATGGCCGCAGGAGAATAGCGGGTAAGGGTAAAAGATATTCATCCTAGAGCTTGACTATAGCGAGGACAGAGAAAAGTATTACCTCAGGCTACAGTACATAAAAACTTAGATGGCTTGTCCTATAGGGTTAATGGGATAGCATCTCATGCCTGAGTGTTTTTTCCCTGTCTCCCATCAGCAGCAGTACGAGCTGTAGTATCACAGCAGCAAAGGTGTTAGCATCAGAGTGGCTGCAGCATGCAGTTCCCGCCCTTAACTCTGAGGTAGGGCCGCTCCTCTAGTCTTGCCCATGTATCATTTAATAGGCATGTTTGCGGCTCTATCTAGGGTCTCCTCCTCTGCCGCCTCCTTCTTACAGCCCCGCCCTTCTCGATGACGTGATGGCCAGTACAGTGTGGCTGTCATGGTGGTTATTTTAATTATACCATACTGTGTTGTCTGGCGGTTTGCTTCCCAGCCACTTTAGCTATATATATATATATATATATATTGGCTTTGGGGTGCTGGAGTTTCAACTCTGAGGAAGGGGGAGATCCCCTGAAATGCGTCAGAGATACACTCTCAGCCCTGGTGTGCATTTACATACATCGCTTGTTTCCACTTGCATGTGCATGTGAGTAGTGTTCCACCTTTTACCATTTGGAGTGTTAATAAACGTTATCACACAAGGAAAAGGCACTGTCTTTTGTGTCTTTTTCTCTGTATGTGGGACAGAAAGTGAATGGAAATCTCCCTAAAGGTACACAGACAGCAAAAAATAACCTGGCCAGGGTTTTAACTCGTATTTATTCTATCCAAAACTATAAAAAAAACATGTTTGGCCAAACACACACTTTATCATCAGTGCTGTTATCTTTATGGTAGTACTTTTAGAATGTCTTTCGGTTAAGTGGTGTTATATCTCCAGTTTCAGCAAAAGGGAGACCAGCTCATGTTTTACAATGCATTGTCTATTACAGCGTTTTCTAATTCTCTTTAGTCAGTCTTGTGATCAAGTTACACTGGCAGACAGCCCAGGCAGGTCTGGAACCTTTGCTGCATTAGCAACATATCTTGATTAAGAATTGATAACACGTAATCACCTGCACTCCATGCAGTGTACAGACCTTATTTGAAGGTTGGTGCTTGAAGTGACAACATGGATGGTGCTGTGTCCATAAGTCCATAATTGAAGGCACCAGCACTTGATGATATGTGCAAGAAGTAAAACACTTTTTATTAAATTGTCACATTCGTCATACAGCCAAAGTTTCGGGGCCACGCAGGGTCCCTTCTTCGGGAAGAAGGGGGGGTGGAGTGTAGAGGTGTCTGAGCGCTGGAAGAAGTGCAAAACATTGCCGGAGGTGAGCATCTGTGACTGCGGAGTGTGGAGGTGGTGAAGGTGAAAAGTTAAGCTTGCAATGTTTTGGGGCTTTGGAGTAGAGGTGGCAGAGGGTGTACGTGCAGCTGAGGGTCAGGCAGAGGAAGGAATTTACACTGGAAGTAGAATGCTCCAGTGGCAAAAAAAGAAGTATGACTTATTAAGGAAAAAGGAAGGAAAGATAGCCACAGATTTTTAGCAATTAGAGTCTATTGCATTTGTCATACTGGTTCTCATGCAGGGCCTGGTTGTGCTGTAGGCAGAAGAGGTGGCTATCATGGGTGCTTCATCAGGAGGGGGAAGAAGGGAGGGGAGACCTGCAACCTATACTGCTGAGATAGATCACAGCTCATGGGGAGTTGGTGCACTTTGGCCTTTTCTCTAAGGGCCAGTTCACACCATAAACAGTGCGTTCCAGAGCGGTCAGCCTCTGGAACGCACTGTATCGCATTCCGGTCCAGTGCAATCTGCAGAAAAAGGGCTTGCAGAATTTTTGCAGATCGCACTGAACCAGAACGCACGAAGCCGGCCAGAATGTGATACATTGCTGACCGCTCTGGAACACACTATGGTGGGAACCGGATATTCTGACTCCGATCGTTGTGATAGCGAGATATATATCTTGCTGAGACCTCTATGCCTGGCCTGTATAAGCAGATATACTCACTGCGGACAATCCTCGTCAGATAGCTGAACTCGTCAATACCGATTCATTCAAAAGAGGTGTTTATTCTTTACATCAGGATTACAGCAGATGATAGGAACAGCAGTTGAATGGTTATAGTATTGTGCGGTCAGAAAATGATGCCTTTCCTCCGTACTGTGCAGATTACCTGTGTGTCCTTGTTACATGTGGCTTTTAACTGTGGCCATGACACAGGAAGTACTGCACACAGGAAGAAGGAAGGGGCGTACACTAGGGGGAAATACATGAGGAATAATTACAGAAAAACATGTACATTACAACAAAAGGTCACCAGATGGCAGCATAGGATAACACATGAATTTAGCTATGAGAAAATAGTTAGGCAAATCACACTATATAAATTCTAACCTATATAACAATGCTAATATTAACTGAGGCTATGCATCTCATATTCTATGCCCCTATTGGGGCGGCACACCGGCCCTAAAACACCTTGTCTTGGCACTGTTCTCATACAGCATATTTTTAAGTATGTATTTTCCATATTTAAGCATGATATCCTATTGCTGGTAAATGTCACTTTACAAATAATTTTTTTAAATGTGTTTTCATAGTGCAATATTTCTAAAGCACTTAATATAACATTCACCAAACATTCAATACAGGTGAATCAACCACTGTAATTTAACCACCTCCCATCCATTGGGCGTACCTGAATGGCCAGACGGGAGCCTTGTAGATGTGAGTGGGCATTTTAAGACATCCCTCCCCATCCCCACTCATGCGTGGCGCCCAGAGTGGAAAAACTACATCAAATGTAAACAGCCGGCAAGGACTGTTTACATACAAGTTAAGTTTGTATAAATAAGTTTACAAAAAATTAAGGAAGCATACAAAAATGAGTCGCACATAAAAAAGAATGTAAGTCTCCCGCCCCCACATACACACGCAAACATGTGTCGGGTATGCCTATGTGCGAAAACGACGATTGCACCCATTGTGACCTACATGTTACATATCACCGTGAGAGTAATAATTGTAGGGCCATCGATCACTGTTAGCATTTTTGCAGATCGCACTAGACCGGAATGCAGGCACGCATGTGCCTGTGTTCCAGGTGTGTGCGATCGCTGTGCGGGCGGGGAACGTGGCTGCCATGCCCTTGACTTCAATGCACCGCCATGCCTTCTGACACACCAGCTGTCTTCTAAGTGTGAGTCTATGTGTCTTTTTCACATATAACTAGATATCAGTATTTCCAGGGTAGTAGCGCTCCTAAAGCTTGTTTGTGTATTGCTGTGTAATGATGGAATAAATGTCAGTCGAAGTACTGCAGCCCTGAATGCTGAAAAATAGCCTGGCCAGGAAGAAGGTTTAACACCCTGGTCTTCAAGTGGTTAAAACACATGCAACAGAAAGATACACATTATTGCTTTATAAACTAATCCCATAATGTTTTTTTGTAATGTAAGGAAGCAAAGAAAAAAAAAAAAAGAAAATGTAATTAGATGTTTATGGGATATATAGTTCTTGTTAAAAACTTTGCTGAGCTGAGGGATCTAATGCATGTCATCACAATCCTGTTTTCTAAGTAAAGGTAATGGGTAACCATTCAATAATAGTTTACTGTATATATTTGACTATTGTGGAGAAATAGTTTTTTTCTTTTTATTAATCATTTTTCCCACCAATTTTCCTTATTTTCAGTTAACAACCAACCAATGCTGCACTATATTAGAGATAAAACTGCGGTTCCCTACTTTTCTAATTTGGTTTGGTTTATTGGAATCCATGTTATTGAACTTGATAAATGTGTCCAGACAGATGAAGAGTGAGTATACTTATAAATCTGTATTTAGATCTATAATTATTCTTTGATGACAGTGATAATTTGATACATGTTTGTATCATGTACATGTAGTCTTGTATATGTGATTTACGGGGAAATAACAGTAAAACATGGCATGACAATCATTGCTGACATGATTGTGGTGAGTCTTTTCTATGCTGTACTGAATATGAAGTTCATTTAAGTGCCTGTTTGGATTTTTTGTATTGAATGTGACAGTGTAGTGACTGTTAACTGCTCTCTGGAGAGATTTTTCCTCATGAAGATAGGGATTGCTCTGCCAAATGTCCTGTCCACCTGGGAGTTTTTTAAACATTTTTTATTTTATACAAAATGGGTATCCATACAAAAATACTGCACATTTTTTGGCAATATGTTACAATTGAGGCACATAGTGGTAATGCAGATAACAAGCATGAACTTTTAAGGCACGGATCCTGCGGCTTTTCAATTTGAATCAACAGTAACATCACTAAGCAGATGGAGCACACGTAGGTGCAGTGGGGGTAGATAGAGGCACAATCGGTCCCTCTGTCTCCTTCAGAAGGCCGTAGTCTGACCATCTACCATAGCGGAACTGGGTGTCGTACTCGTATGTATATTTTCTGCCCGACACAACACAACCACAAGGGCGTATCTGCGGTTCGCAATGTGAGCATTCTAGTAGGGGGATATTGCATATGGACCATTGACAACCTGCATCGCGGATTGTTAGGCAACTCAATCAAGGCATTCAACGTTTGGTAGTCATGCTGTCTCTTAAGACACCTACATAAACCAGACGTATGTGGGACAGACAGGGAGTAGTAGGGGGAAAACATTCAGAAGCAGGGGAAAAGACAAAGAGAAAGGCGATAAAGAGAGAGAGAGCTCCCAGCGGTCCCTTATCCCTTACCGCTTAAAGCATCTGAGGATCTGTGGAGGTTCCAAATGAGGCATGCAAATAATATTCGGGAGAGGCGAAGAATGCCGTCCAAGGCCCCCATATTTTGCAGAAGGTAGCGTTAGTCTCCATGGACTACGCTGTTAGGTCTTCCATTCTCCAGATCTCATTAACTTTGCTCAACCACATGCCCACTGTAGGGGATCTGGGGTCCCGCCAGAGCAACGGAATGCATGCCTATGCCGCATTGAGCATGTTTGGCAATACGGATCTCAGATAGGATTGTTTCGGTATAGTATTGTGATGCAAAATGCAGAATGCTGGCATATCCCGGTCAGTAAACTTGGGTAACAGCGCTCTGACCGCCTCCCAATATTCCTGAATCTCAGGCCACGCCCAGAACACATGGAACATATTGCCCCCAGCCTGGCCGCTTCACCAACAATCAGTGGGTAGTTCTGGCATGAGTTTGTGAAGGGCAGCAGGGGTCCTATACCAATGGGTGAGAATCTTATAGTTGCACTCCTGAATCCTGGTGCACCTGGAGGTTTTGTGGGCAAAGTAAATAATTTTCTCTCTTTGCTCTGGTGTGAACTGAGTCTCCAGTTCGTGCTCCCATCTGTTGAAGTATGGGGAAGCACTGTCCCCTGGGTGGGAGTCCAGAATTTAATAGACCATAGACACCGCATGGCTAAGGGGTGGGCCTGGTTCGCACTCTCTCTCAAGCTCCGTCAAGGGCCGGATAAAAGTCATGGCTGGTGGTAGGGACCGTAGAAAGTGCGACAGTTGTACCCTTTGCCAGAATTTCAGGGGGGACCACTGTGGACCCAGCAACATGTCCTCCAGCGACACCCAGGCCTCTGCCCGGATTAAATGTTTGGCCCTATGAATGTTGGCCCCAGTTAGCACATGGAAGCCAGGGTCTTCCATTCCAGGAGTGAATGTAGGGTTGCCCAGGATAGGATATAGGGGTGAAGGTGCCGGTGATGCACCTACCAGGGGAAAAAATTTGTGACACACAGCCCACGATGGACCTATTGTGGGATGGTTTTTCACCGATGTCTGGATCTCACTTCTACACCAGTGCAGTGCTGACAGTGGAATTCCCACTCCCGATTCTTCAAGCCCTATCCACTGTTTAAATGGGCCGTGGCGGCACCAGTCGATCACCCTCGCGAGATGGCATGCTGCATGGTAATTAATCACATCTGGTAGGCCAAATCCCCCATGTAGTTTATGCCTGCACAAAATCGATTGCCTTAATCCTAGGTTGTCTGTGGGCCCACAGAAATTTCATGAAGGCACTGTTAACTACCTTAAGAATGGACTGTGGTACATGGATCGGCAGAGTTTGCAATAGATATAGAATGCGTGGCATAACATTAATTTTCAGAATGTTGCATCTGCCGAACCATGATCATTTACCCGCATGCCACCCCGAGAGGTCCAACCGAATGTCCCTGAGCAGCGGCGGGAAGTTAAGATGAAAGGTGCAGCAAAGGTCTGCCTGGATGGTAGTGCCCAGATATCTCGGAGATAACGCCGCCCACCGAAATGGAAAAGTCGATCTCAGTCCAGAGAGTAGGAAGCCCAGGACAGATACATTGAGGGCCGTGGATTTTTGGAAATTAATGAGAAATAATGACAATGCCCCATATGTCTCAAATTCACACATCAGATTCGGTAGGGAAACACCAGGGTCAGTAAGGAGAAAGAGCAAATCGTTGGCAAAGGCCGCCACTTTGTGCCTACCTCCAGCCCCCCCCACCCCCCACCTAGGTCCACTCCAGCAATGTTATAGTTAGCCCTGATTCTGCGGAGAAAGGGCTCCAAGGTGAGAATTGAAGATTAGAGGCGACAATGGGCAGCCCTGCCACTTTCCGTTCGATATAGCAAAAGCGTCTGAGAGCAGGCCATTCACCCGGACCTGTGCTGTCGGTTTAGAGTAAATTGCCATTATCCACGACATCATCATATCACATCTCATCTCACCAGGCCCAATGCCAGAGGGTCAGTTCCATGAAGTCCAATCCACGCGGTCGAGGGCCTTCTCCGCATCAGACGAGAGAGGCAAGAGAGGCCGCGACCGAATGGAGGCTGCGTGCATGACATCCAGTTACATTGTCCCGAGCCTCTCTAGAGGGTATGAATCTCACCTGATCTAGATGAACAATGTCCTGCAGATGGGGGACCAGGCGAGATGCCAACATTTTCATGAAAAGTTTCAGGTCGGAATTGAGCAATGAAATGGGCCTATAATTTGAGCATAGCAGAGGATCTTTCTTCGGTTTGGGGATGAGGGTTATATGTGCTCGCAACGAGTCTGTGGGCAAGTGCCCACCCTTGCCCACTGCATTGTAACCCTTAAAAAATGGGGTGCTAGGATCTCCAGAAACGTTTTATAGTACGACAAAGAGAGGCCATCTGGCCCTGGTGCTTTACCGGTGTTAGTCCTTTTCAGGGCTCCAGTTAGCTCCACATGAGTGAGAGGCATCTCCATGGAGTGTACTGCCTCCTCTGGTATAGCCGGCATCTCTGATTCAGCCAAGTACTCTGAAATCTTAGGTCCAAAGTCATACTCGGCTTGCCGTGCGACCTTGGAGGTTATAGAGGGAGGCGCAATACTCCTTAAATACCCCAGTTATATTAGTAGTCTTATACACTTTCGTAGCTCATGGGGACAGTATCTCTGGTATGAAGGACTGCGATCTCTGCGACCGTAACGCCCTAGCCAGTGGCCTGCCACACTTGTCGCCTAGTTCGTTAAAAAACCTTGTACCCCTGGTCAACATACCCTTGGCCTTGGCAAGGCAAAGCGACCGCAGTTGTTCCCGGAGACTCGTCAGTTCACCGAGGACAGACTTGGCTAAGGACTATTTATGCATCGACTCCAGGCAGGAAATGTCTGTTAATAAGGCTTCTATCTTTGCGGTACGCTGTTTTTTAAGTCTTGAGCCTAATTTAATAAATGAGCCCCTGGTATATGCCTTGTGGGCCTCCCAGAGAATCATGGGATCACACTCCTCGGTGTCATTGCAAGCAGGTCGGTTTTGATTTCCTCCATCAGGGTGGGGTCTTGTAGGATGGTTTTGTTCAGGTGCCAGGTCCAAGGACCAAGGTCCGTTGGCAGCAGGTCAAGGGCCAGGGATATCAGGGCGTGGTCTGACAAGGAAATTACGCCAAATTGATGCCCCCCGTACCACTGCCAGATCTCGGTGTCCCACCAGGAATAAATCTATACGAGAGTACGAGCCATGTGGATTGGAGTAGAAGGTATAGTCACGTTTTTTAGGGTGCAGCATGCGCCGTATATCAACTAATTGAAAGTACCTTGTTTGATCTTCCGGAGGGTTGAGTAAGAGAGGTGCGAGGCCGACCTAGAGCTGTCCAATGTGGGGTCAAGGACCACATTGAAATCTCCCCGCAGGACCAGTACTCCCTCCGTGAACTCCCCCAGGCGTACCAGGGTGGACTCCAGGAAAGGAATCTGACCAACATTGGGTAAATATACTTTGGCGAATGTGCATAGGGTGTGGCTTATTCTGCCCTTCACAAAAATGAACCTGCCATCCTGGCTATAACGTGTATCCACGTATTGCCACTGTACATTCCTATGCACCACAAAACTAACCCCCTGGCATTTACTGTCTGGTGAACCACGGTGGTAGGCGCGTGGGAAGTGTTGATTCTGAAATCTGGGAATGTTGGAGATCTTGAAATGCGTTTCCTGAACAAAACATACCTGAGCTTTTGACCGTTGAAGTTTGTTAAGAAAGGCTGTTCTCTTCTCCGGAATCTTCAAGCCCTTTACCTTCCAGGACACCACGTTACAGGACACAGAGCATGATCACACCCTCCGGAGTCCGCAAAGGTCTGTGAGTCTCGCTAGGAAAGAACAGAGAAATAAAAAATAGGGAGAGGGCGAGGGTGGTAAAAGATGAACACTGGGGGACATGTGAGCTCAGGAAATGTGTTTCCTGGAACATTATGACCTGAACCATGGCCTTATGCATGGAATATAAAATCTGGCCCCGTTTGGAGGGGACATTGAGGCCTCTAGCGTTGTACGTGCAGATTTTAAGGTCCACAGCCGTGGATC